TATAATTATGGTAATTAGACGTAATATAAGATTCGTTGACCCTGGATCATCATCCCACACAGGAATATAGAACATGAACATATTTCGGAAACACCAACGAACCGATGCCGGCATTTTCAAATCACCATGGCATCCAGCTGAAGAATTCCTGTCCCAGAAACACTGAGTACAGTATTCCGAACGACGGCATTCCTTGGTGGATAAAAAACAGTTTGACTTGGCGAATTGATGACCACAGTGTGACCACAGGTACCAGCCATTGGACATGACCGTCCATCAATTTATGAATTATATATAATTATATATAATTCATCCATTCAAAACTCATTTGTTGCAACTTGCTGAAAGTCTCAAAGGAAAACATGTGTTTTGCTCTCACCTATGCAGGAAGAAAGCAGGAAGCAACCATCATGGTTTCAAGATACCAGGAAACGCAAATTCCGTATACAAAATTCATCAAAATTCACACTATTGTAGCTTGTATTGGCCATATGTCCATATTGGTGGCTTCTTCCCACATGAACATCTCTGTTAAAAACCCATTGTTCCACCAGCTCAGCCAACCCATTTTGGGCCGATCTGAAAGCGCACAGCATTCGTGTTCAAAATCTTGAGTTTCTACTCCGTTTAACACTTGCCCTAAATTCTCTGTTTAACTTCCGAAATGACAGTCAACTCAAAATCTGAGAGTAAACACTGGATAGGAACCTTTAAGCTCTGTATCTGAGGAAATGTGATAAGACTGGACACATAAAGCTAAAACATTAATTGATAGAAACTTAATGCAACACCGCATATTTGCACTATTCAGCTAAGTTTTTTGTCTGGATAAAAGCCGGATGAATACTTTAGAGATCATTTTGAGTTTGTCCAAATTTTGGGAGGTACCCACATGTTGATAGATGATAAAAATCGTTATCATCATTTTCCCGATCATATTTTTGGGTTGGTATTTTCGCCAGCTTTCAAACCATCACCAAAGTCCGTTAAGTCACCGGGTTCTATCCCAATATTTTTGGTGTCAAAATCCCTTAAAACTTGCTGCTTCAATCCCAATTTGGTTCTTTCTCGCATCCATTGATTTCTATACCTACAAAAATCACAGTTTAACATCGATATTATCCCGAAAAAGTGTACCATTGATTGTAACCCATCAATATCCAGTATATTCCATGAAACAATCCCCATGAAATCACTATATAATTGTTGATTGTTGGTCATATCGCATGATAACACATTCTACCCTGATGATATTCCCATTATTATCCGGTTTCATCCCCTTTCCATTTATACATCCATTACTGTATGTCATATCATATGCCCATGCATTAAATCCCAATTATACATCCCTTATATATGCTTATATGCTATTCATATCGACTATGTACCCATGATATACCTCTGTTGTCATTGTCCTAAACAAAAAAAACACAATGTTTCCTCCTGTGAACTAATATAGTGGAAAACCCACCATTTACCCTCTGGTTATTTAACATAGCCATGGTATAGATGGTCCATTGAAATAGATGGTTTACCTTTTAAACATGGTGGATCTTTCCATGGCTACGTTAAATAACCAGAGGCTAAATCCCATTATATCCCCTATAAATCCCCATTAATCACCATTAAATCACCATAAATCACCATTTATAGTGGTTAAATCCCCATTAAATCACCATTAAATCACCATTAAATCATGGGAAAGATCATTTTCCTAGAAAAAGCCCATGGGAAAACTCCCAGCGGTCCAGCGTCGGTCGCCCGCCCAGGGCTTCGACCCGTTGCAGCTTCCAGAGGGCTTCACGCCACTCGCCGCGGCGCACGTGTCTGGAAAGTGGGAAGTGGGATGAATGGTGAGTGAAATTCACGGTAATCTACAAGTGGTGCCCAAGATAGCTAAGTTGATTTATTAATCTCCAATCACTGTTGGGTTTATATATATATATTTATATATCACAATATATCGAACTAGTTGCTATGGTTCATAAACCAACTTTTGACTGGGAGGGGCACCACATTGTACCATCATGGTGGATATTTCATAGGTATAATTCAATGAGATGTAAGAGCATATTTGATAGTTACTTAATCAAACATTGGGATAATCAGAGGAGTTTCAAGGGGATAAAATGGGACATGACAAAAGGACATGACCAACTATGAACTATATGTTTAGAGTGATTTCAGGGGGAGTTCTTATAGATATACAATTATAATCTGTTATATATATAATGCATATATTTATAGGACATTTCATGATATTCTGGGTATGTCTGACAATGGGCCAGCGGATGCCACCCATCTGTGGTTGGGAAAATTTTCGGCATTGGATCAAAGATCAGGATCAAGCATCGGCGGTGGTTTCCCTCCATTTGTCTGTACTGTTCATTTACTATCTGGACGATCCAAAAAACAAGAAACATCCCCTTGGACATCCACTCAATATCCGTCAAACTGTTGAACCACAAAAAAAACCCATGACATGATGTCCCATGAAATAACATGAAATAACCATATTCATTCACTATCTCAAGGCTGATACCGCAGGACTCTCCGTATCTGCGAGACACGGTGCCACTCGAAGTTCAGCCTCAAGCTGCAGCAAATTGATACCCTCTGGGGACATCAAACATGGCTAGCTGTAGGTTTAATGTGTTTATGGGAAAACAATAGAAAAATCTGGCCCCATCATCCATGAATGGAGGTTTCAATGGGAAAATCATCGACAAATGCGGGATCTTAAATTGCTAGGTACGGTATGATTTATAAAGATGTTCGTCCCATTTACTATGTCCATTGGGGATTTCCCAGCTAGCCGCTGCTAGCCATGTTTGATGCAGATGGAAGATCATCCCATGGGCACATGAGATATCTTGAGAGGTCTTGAGAGGTCGCGTTCATTCAAAGACCGTAAAGCCAAACGCAAGCATGGCAGCCAGTACGGCTCAAGACGTTGATTTTAGCAAAGAACCATAGACATCTTATAGGGTCGGCGATCTTGACCCATGGCTATAATGGTATCATATGGGCTTGGAATGAGGTTCCCTCCAGGATTTCTGCTGGACATTTGCTGCTTATCGCGCCAATCATCCCAATACAGACATGTAGAGTCAATGGAGACAATGATCCTCGAGTAGGGTAGGTGTAGCTATATATTACACATATACATCCTGAAATATCCTGAATCAATTCATGTCAATTAAATAGAGGTCTCCTGTGCCACTTCCCTGACCCGAGCCTCCAGCATGGCTCAACTCTTCCTGCCGTCCCGATCGATTCTTCACCTGACAGGTCTAAATAGGGTATCCCTTCAGGTAAACTACTGTTGATTGATAGGTGTTTCCACATCTTTCAATGTTTACCGCCAAGAAAAACATGTTAAACTTGAACAAACTACATATTAAATATTATACGTATAAATAATACACATGCCCCATGCTAAAGGTGCCCTTCTGCAAAATGTCTGGCCTTGAATTGACCCGGAACTAATTGCACCTTCATCAGTTTATGTTTGGGAATGGAACTCTCCATTGGGAGAGGATTTGGCCAAAAAAAAACTAGCCAGTGGAGAGGAAGGAAAAACTGCTCCGCCCCCCATCAGTTTTGATGTCATTCAATGCCATATCACCTTTCGCGGTTCGTCATTCCATGATTCCCCTGCGTCTTCCAGCGGGCCTCAACAATGTCTGCGAGCAGCAGCCATTGCTCTTCAAAATACGTCAGATGCGAGTGCTTCAAACCAGAGAGATGTGACCCACTAAATGCCAATCTGATACAACCTGGAATACATCCTGCTATGATGTGCTGCAGTTCAGCTATTCTTGATCCCGAGAATCAAGTGATTCCAGAAGCTACGTCCAAGTCATGTGGGCATTGATGCACTTGTAGGAAATCATCCAGGAGGAATGGGATCTTACATGATCTTACCCACCAAGTAGTGATACATGGCTGTGTCTGAAAATGGGTTACACACACCCAAAATGGCAGGTTTCATAGGGAAAGTGATGATCAACCAATGGATTTTGACGAAACAAACACACGGACTGCAGAGCCTTCATGCTCTTTGCCCTTGCATTTTGCCTGTCACTTGGATGAGTATCATCTTGAGACCTTCATGCAGTTGCGATGCAGTTATATACTCCAAAGGTGGAACATGTCAACGTCAGGAATGCCCAAGAGGAAGGGACCTAGCTTTCATGCTGGGAATCATCTGGGCAGTGTTTCTAAAACATATGTTCCACCATTTGGTTCATAGGTTTCCCAATGGCTTATCATAGTCCTCAATAAGAACATAAATATGACATAAATAACATAGATTAACATAGTATGACATCCATATTAATGACTCCCATATCCCCAATAGACAGAGACCATCAGAGACCGACCCCACCAGTTTCCACGCCATTTGCGATCGCCTGCGAGGAGTTGAGCACTGTACAGGGTTGCCCCGACAGCCGAACTGAGTTCGATATGGAACAGCGGGCGAAGCGAACACCCTGGATCTGCCGGGAGTCACGTGACAAGATCGCTAGGGCTAAGGAATGTGGTAAGAACCCACAACATATTGGTGATTTTGAACTATGAGGTTAAATGCGTTTAATACTATGTGGTACTATTTGAACATTCCAACATGGAGTCAACAAGTTTGGGGCCAAACTATTGGGTGCGAATACAGTAAACCCTGCCAATGTTTAGTCTACATCCTTTTGATCTGTTTGGTGTGAACAGCATTCATTTTTGTATGGTCCAAATCGATGACTGCTGGACTTGGGCAGGTTGTTATGTAAAAAAAACTTGGAACCTTTTGGGTTGTGCAAAAAAACATCAATCTTCAGCTAAATCTAAAATCACTAGAAACTGTTCATAAAACATCGCCCTCAGACAGCATCTCCTTTTCTATTCAGACACACTTAAATGATCTTAAACCATTTTCCTACTAGTTAAATCCTCAACCTGCATGTCGCGCAACCTTCTCCGCGGCCAGCCATTTCCTAAAGCCTCTACAGTTCGACCGTCGCCTTTTGCAACGTGCTTCGCAAGGCTTCTTCAAACCTCGTGTCATGATCCGTCATGTGCCATGCGGGTCTGAAAAAGGGGTGGATACCCATAGTGACAAAAAACCAGTGGATGCAAAATGATGAAACACCAGAGATTTTGGGGCACTCTAGTTTCAAATGACAAAAAATGGCAATTTGAATGTGTCCTTGTCTGGCATAAACTGGCAATTTGAATGGAACCTATGATCATAGACCATGGTTGATAGGAAGTCCCACAGTGGGTCACAAAGTCCCCCATGAACCAGTAGACCCTCCTATATTGAACTAATCAACATTAATCTCTGCTCATGCATCATTGAACTGATTTTCATGAAAGAAATGTGCAGGAACCCGTTAGCGTTCATCCTAAAATTAGGTAAGACTCGGAGGTTATCCTTTCATCCAAATTGGAATTCAAACTGTTACAGCTAACATCAAACACCAGAATGTAAGAAATCTCATCTCACCAGCCCATCTCAAATTCACCCGACAAGATTTTGGGGAATTCTGAAAACAACCTGATTATCACCATATCCTATATGGGTTTGTCTAAACATAAGGTAACTCAAGGGTGTATCATCATTGTCCTTCTTAACATGTTATTTTGGGGTACGGTATACCCTATTCTCAGACAAACCCAGATGATTTTAATACATATACATATCTAATGTTTTCAATAGGCATCACTAATCGTACACTATAATATATAAAATATCATGTATAATAATATATATAATATCATATCATATCATATCATATCATATAAAATGATGAATATCATATAATATCATATAAAATAATATGATATATATAGTATCAGATCATATATAATAATATATATAATAAAATATAATATGTAGTATAATATAATAATAATAATAGTAATAGTAATAATAATAATAATAAATATATATGATATATAATATAATATATCATATATATAATACAATAATATATATATAATATTATATTATATATAATATATCATATATGATATATTATATATTATATATCATATATTAAATATTATACATATAATCCCTTCCTCCTAATACTAAACGTCCCCCTAATACTAAAAACAGGCATCCATCTCCAATTTCCGAAAATTTCAGTTTGGCCAATTTGACTTTTAATTGATCCCCTTTAAAAAACAATTCAAAAATCAACCTACCATTTGTGGGTTCTCCCCCCTAATACTAAAAACTAATTCATCCCGGGGTGTTTAGTATTAGGGGGGCTAGTTTTTAGTATTAAGGGTTTTAATTTAGTATTAGGGGTAAGCTTCGAACTGCCATTTTTGGCAATATTTTAATTGCGTTATATAAGGAAATTTAATTGATTTTGAGATCGGAAAAAATAGTTTTTAGTATTAAGGGTTTTAATTTAGTATTAGGGGTAAGCTTCGAACTGCCATTTTTGGCAATATTTTAATTGCGTTATATAAGGAAATTTAATTAATTAATTAACATGACTTCGATTTGGTTCCCTAATAATAAATACCCCCCTAATACTAGAAACTACCTGCCGTGTTTTGTATTAGGGGGGGGGGTTTAGTATTAGGAGGAAGGGATTATACATATAATAGGACTTTTTAAAGGGTACGCCCAACCACCACGAAAAAACTGTCCAAACCATCCCCAGCCGCGGAGTTTCCGCAGGAACTTCTACGGCCGTTTTTTGTGGATCCCCACTGACGCAGCAAGGCGCGGACCGCCGGGATACCTTCCTGCACCATGGGTGAACTTTGGAGTCAATACATTTAATCTATGTATCATAATATTGAATGGATGGAGGGTCTAACCATTTATTTCCTGCACCATGTCAATACATACTTAGACCCTCCATCCATAATAAACAATGGCTTACCCCATACATTTAATCTATGTATATGGGGTATAGACCTATATATATAAATGCATATACAGTATCCATATACTGAAACCATTTTTTTGGGGGTAGTTGGAGGATCTCGGTATGGCAGGGTGGCGGCAAGTGGGAATCCAGGAGAATCTGACAGCAATTGATGTATTGGGATATCATTCCATTGACATATGCAAAAATCAGCAAAAAACGAAGATGCTTCATGCTGGTGACACTGTCATGGTGTCTACTGAAACCAATCTCCAATAACTTGTGGAATCAAAGATGGCAATGAACAATTCTATCAAAATCACGACTTTACATTGTTTTCCTGGGAAATTCAGCTATCAACCTGTAATCCATTTACAATGGATATAAGTCCGAATATTATATATATATATGCACACAATTTCAACCGGAGATTATACAGTATATATGTATAGTTATAAACGTATAGTATAGATTTGCATGGATATATATAACCACATATATAAACACACACATATATATATATACACATAGAAACACACATATAAGTATCTAAACATATACTATACCACATACTATACTATATACTATACTATATACCATACTATATACTATACTATATACTATACTATATACTATATTATATACTATACCATATACTATACTATACTATATACTATACTATACTATATACTATACAATATACTATACTATAATATACTATATACGTACACAATATAATTCATATAAAATCATTAAAAATCCAAACAAATATCCTCTCCCCTTTGAACGGACGCCTTGCGGACAGCGCTCCCTAAGCGATGTCGAGAGGTGTCGCTGGTCGTCTCAATCTGGAGCTGACCGGGGGTTTCCCAAGTGAGATTTATAGCAACTACTGGGTAAAATGGTGATTTTTCCATATATAGAAACCCACCAAAAAGATAGAAAATATGAGAAAATAGTGATTTTTCATAGGGGACACCTATAGCTATCTAATATCGATGATTAGGTTATTTGAGGATGGTTTATAACCCCTAATAGAAGAGTAAAATCCTACTACACTAGTGGTAAACCATTGTTCTATCTTGTTTGGTGTTGCTAACGACCCCCCTCCCAAGGATGGTTGTACCCCAAAATGATAAAGGTTTACTAAGCTTATCAACAACCAACAACCATGAAAAACACCTATGAATTAATTGGTGAAAGGTTTGGATTATGGATAGGGCGAATCTTATACAACTACCAACAACCACTAACTCACTCAAGCTTATCCAGCACCTTCTTACTTTGGAGATGTGCATCCCAGTGAGTAAAGTGGTAAAACAATTCAGCCATACGACGCCTATGGCAGAAAATTGCTGGGGTTCAAAACATCTAAAATTGCAGCTTCATCAGTTTGCGGTTTGCCACATTGAGTGGTTTTCAAACATCATCCCCTTCACAAACAGTCATCATTGAACATCAGTGCTGGAAATATTTGAAACCAGCTAGAGACTAATAACATTTATTGAGATTTTTCTCATGAAATCTATTGAAATCTACTGACATCGAATGAATCCCTTCCCCTCGAACTTCCCTAGAACCTGATCTCATTTTGAGCTCCCAAAAATCAAAATCAGGGATGGATTCGCCGTGGCCTGGATCACTGAGGAGTTCGGCCCATCTTCTGAGGAAAGTTCGGGCCTCAGATGCTGAAATAACTATGGTTTATGGTAGATATATTATAGATAGATATAGAGAGAGTTGATGGGATATAGATCTATAGTTGATGGGCTTTGTACACATTTATAAACCCATGACTTTGATGGAGGTGTCCTAAAATGATGAGAACCCCACATCATCCAGTCATGAGTCATGAATGATCACCATGACTTAGTATTGAAACAACGATGATGACGACTGGGGCTCCCCCATGACTTAAGAAACCCCCATATGGGCCTATTGGAATAGTGAATCATTGAAGATGTTCAAACTTTGTGGTTCCCTCAGTCTTCAGGTTTGGCCCATACCCATTTCTGCGTCTCAGCTACAACTGGTGGTTTGTGGTCGAAGATGAGCCATGAAATCCGAACATGTACTTGTCCAAGGGCTTGATTATGCGGGTGGATGAAAAGCACAGGCTTCAAAAATACCAACACGAACGGGCAAGTGCTCGGATGTGTTTTTTTTTTTTTACGCGAACCCATCATTCCAAAATAATTTGTTCGGAAAACTGGAGGGACTTAGAGTGTCATTCCCATTAATTAATTATATCCCATCACGTCCCATTATATATACCCCTGGCATACCCCATTGTATACCTCATTATATCGTTGTAACCCTTCTTTGCCCACCAACAAAAACGACGAACATCGACAGAATTGAGTGATTTTGGAATGGGTCAAGTTGGAGAGCACAGCAATGAAAAGAACGGATCATGGCCAATCTTCGGTATCCTGAAACAAACTACGTGTGTATATAAATATATATGTTTTAGGATAAATATCCAAGTTTATCTGGTTACTTTTACCCTATATCCTATCTTGGATATTTATCTCAATCTTCAATGGCAAGGATAAACATCCCCATTGATAGTCAAAGATGCAGTTGTACCAAAGTATCCAGTTGGTTGACCCAGAGAAAATCTTGGCACGTGCTGCTTCCGAGTTTTGTTGAAGACACCTTGGTCTTGATCCACCCTGTAAATCATTGCAAGTGGTGCTTTGTGGCACGTCTTCTCCATTGAATTTCGCGTCAACCCTTGGCTACTCTTAGATGTGCTGCAACGGAGAATACAAAATTGGCCCAGAAACAACTATTAAACTACCCTTCACCAGTCAATTTACTCAGAACCCTGGATTCTCAAGGCCCTCCTTACAACATAATTATTACCATACAAATGGAATATACGGTATCCCACTGTACTTTACTTATATGTTATATTGCATTGTATCATGGGTGCAACCAAATACAGTTGGGGTTTGTCTGGAAGTGGGGTACTCCAACATTTTGATGGTTTAAGACCTCTGATTTCTCTTGTTCAATAGCCACATATTGAGGGCAAATCCACGCTTTTCAGAAACACCCAGTTCATATTGCTGGTTATACATCCCACCAATGGCCCGGTTATTTCCCCATCTGCATGATATAATATCTAATCCTATTTCACATAATTATAGTAACATATAGAGTAACCCCCAAAAAAATAGAACATTAGTTTCCCAGTATTTTAGTAGAATTTCATTTTAATCTATCTTTTTGGGGTTGCTATATGGTTAGTTTATAACCCCCTTTTGATTGGTCAACCCCAGGAGTGATTTTCCTCCAAGTCCCAGGCAAAATGAGCGATCCTTTGGCTTCTCCCAGCCTACCATCAGATGGTTCTGTTGGGGAAGTAGTGACTCAATCAGAAAGAACACCTGTTGTTGGTATTTGATGGTATTTGTATGTATTTGTTTGTTCTGTTCCCGTTCTAAAGTTGGCACTGGTTGTCTCCCCAATTTGTGTTTCTTCAAGGCTTTACTTTAAACCCATTGTTTTTGCTGGTTCTATCTCCGTCTTGGGTTGAACAACTTTGGTTGAACGGACAAATGCAACTTTTCTTGCGTCAATCCCAATGTGACTGGTGAGTTTGTACCACGGTTATGCAGTTTTTTTTCACCCGGTGTTGTTTTACCTTCAACCAACCTCTCAGAACCCAACCCTTGAGCAGTTCCTGCAGCTTCCCAACGGCCTTGGAATGTGCATCGATTTGCTGGAGCTGGAAGTTGTTCTGTAGCTTGAGGGTGGGGGTATAGAAATATATAGGCACGGTATATACGTAAAATAGACACATATTTTCATATGATGCTCATATATATATATATATATTTGTTCCAAAACACACCATTAAAGCTAATGTCCACGCACCCAGGCATTCTAGTGCAGTAGTTGAACCATATCGGCACTGCATCTCCCCCTCAGTGTGCGACTTTCAACTCTCAGCAGGTAGAGGATGATGGGTTTGCCTCTGATTTTGCTGATGGTGGGACACCCCAAAACAGCAAGCCCTTTGGAGGCTTTTGCATCGGGGTGGACAAGGTTACAAAAGTCTGGATCAATTTGTTTTATCCCCAAAAAGATTGAATCCGAAGTAACGTGCGGGTACTAGTCTTATGTCATACAGTTTTACAGAACCACAGAAAATACATGAAAAACCATAATTACTTTACTTCGTGTGATCCCCACCATGACATTTATATATTTTGTTACTGGCAAATCTTCTGGCATTCTATCTGGCATATCTTCTGGCATTCTACCTGGCATATGTTCTGGCATATCTTCCGGCATTCTATTTGGCATATCTTCTGGAATATTATTTGGCTGTTGAGGTCCAGCGGTGCACACTGAGCTGGGCAGGTCCCAGGTTGAGGTCCAGCGGTGCACACTGAGCTCGGAAGGTCCCCGGTTTGAGGTCCAGCAGTGCACACTGAGCTCGGAAGGTCCCAGGTTGAGGTCCAGCGGTGCACACTGAGCTGGGAAGTTGGCAAAGAGCTTGGCCAAGAGTTGGCAAGGCGGAAGTTGAGGTGGAAGTTGATGCAGACATGGTCGAGGAGAAACAGGCGGAGGAGAAGGAAGAGGAGGAGGACGAGGAGGAGGAAGAGCAGGAGGAGGAGGATAGCTAGCCGAGGAGGAGGAGGAGGAGAAGAACAAGGGAACACCGCCTTGAGGCGGGTGTGGGTTTTCTACAATTGTGTACTTGGTGATTGAATCAAAAATCACCTTTTTACACTGTAATTTGCAGTATTTTATGCTTGTGATCTATGATGTTTTGACGTTTGCTGCAAGAATGTCAAAATGCCAAAAAAAACTTTTGCAATTCCGCAACATCTGCTTGAGACATGAATACATAGATATTTTAAATACCCTTTACACACATATATATATATAAACATGTAAACATACATGTATATAAAAAACACGCGTTTTGATAAATGTATGTTGTAAATGAACCTAGCAAAGTTGGGCAACGTGTCTTCGGTAGCGTCATCTTACAGTCGAAAGGAACGTTATCATCCCCCCCCCACCCCCCCACCCCCCCTCCCGGTCAAGGTAGCAAGACGTCAGCAACAAAGTTGGGCAACGTGTCTTCGGTAGCGTCATCTTACAGTCGAAAGGAACGTTATCATCCCCCCCCACCCCCCCTCCCGGTCAAGGTAGCAAGACGTCAGCAACAAAGTTGGGCAACGTGTCTTCGGTAGCGTCATCTTACAGTCGGCAAGAGCGTTAAACACGTATACTGCCAAAGAGCACAAACGTGGAAAAAACCACGCCCGCCTCGGGGCGTTGACCCCAAGAACAACTGTGATAAAATCTAACAACCCTCACCTGGCAGGTGGGGAAATACCTTTATAGCTTGCCGTGGTCATGTGGGTTCATGTATCTTGATCCTGACTCCATATTGAGCTGAAACCTGGGCATCGGGGGCTTTAATGATAAAATATGTGGACATTCTCTAAGAAACAAACCACACTATGGGAATAGACCCAACAACAAACGGTGGTCAAATTTTGGAATCTATCCCAACATTGGGGACCACAAATGACGAATGCATGGCCAATTTGACCAGTCAACGAATGGTTTTGGAGTCCCATTTGTTTCGGGCCGTTGGTTTCTCTGAGCCCCAGTTGTGGTTGTCAATATCCTCGTCATACCTTGACTAAAGGCCCAACCTTTTGCTGAATGAATTCCAGAATATAATTATGTGCTGATGCAATCCTAGTATCTGCTGGTGAGTAAATCTTATCATCCTCATTTTTCTCATCTCTATTACCATTGGATATGAACCTATGAGGAATATTCTGATTTGGTGCCATATTTGGGGATACCCGAATATCACCTTAAATATCCACTTTACAGCGAAAAAATGAAATACATTTCACGATCCGTCCAAAATTAACCCAGAAAATATCAATATCAGAAGCCATTAAATGGATTAACCCATCAAATGGTGGCATCAAATGGATTAACCCATTGAATGTCAAGTTTATCCATTTGATGCCACCAGAAGCTCCGGTTCCCAGGTTTCCAGGCCCTTCCGGACAGTGACTGAAGCATCTCCTGTGACCTACGCGCTGTGCGTCGCGCTGAGCGACATGGCGGATGTCATCATCGACCCGAAAAGGGTGACATTCATCGGGATTTCGTGGGATAGTCATCTTTGACTTGTGATGTTAATGGACACGATCACCTTGTAGATGCTGTCCAGTTACTATAGGGGATGGCCTCTCATTTGTGTTTTACTCATCCAACTGGCTGGCCGAGATCAATTTTTGGATGATAATTATTAACTCAGCTTTGCAACCCAACAGCATACCTGAATCTTCCACCTACGTCTTTCAGACCCTGTGCCAAAGTCCTGTTTTTTCAGTACCCAGAAAACTTTTCAGGACCTACTCTCAAATTCAGGACCTGGCCATTTTGGGGTATCAATGGTAATGGCAATCATTGGGTGCAAACATGTGAAACCAACATTTGGTGGATATTCAAGCCATTGGCATTGATCCACGCAAATAAAAGCACTCCCAGCCCAAACTCATGGCAAGGCAGGATCAGAATATAGTATATTCCAGAAAGTATGTCAGAATAGATGCCAGATAGGATGCCAGAGAGAATGTCAAATAGAATCTCAGAAAAGAATGTAAGATAGTGTGTCAGAACATATATGCCACATATACGTCCAGATGATATGTCAGAAACTATGTCAGAATAGTGTGTCCGGGTGGGGATCACTCTTAGTAAGGCAATTTTGAAAATATATTTCAGGTTCGGAATTTTCAAACTGTTGTCCTTCAGGCGCCGAAGCTCCCGTTGAAGGTCAGCATCGCCCCATGTCAACTGGTCCAGTCCCACTTCCATTTCAACAAGTCCAACTTCATCGATTAGGGTGTTGGTTGAATGGACTTGGGACTCTAGCTGGCACGGCATCCCTTGTAACCCTGTAGACACTGTAGTGGGCAAAAAGATTGTAACACACAGAATCAGCATCATTTTGATCAGGCATTCTTTTTGCTAATCCTTTCTCCCTATTACGAAAAATACCCCCAAATGACAAAAACTAGGTGCGATTTCCAATTTTGGGAAATGTCAAATTGGTTAATCTGATTTTTAATTGATCCCCTTGAGGAAACAATTTTAAAAATGAAGGTACCATGTGAGGGTTTCACCCCCAAAGAATAAAAAACTAGTCAACACCGGGGTGTCTTTTATTGGGGTCCGTCCTTTAAAATCGTCAATTTTAGTTTTTTAATTCAGGTGTTGGTGTTTTATTTGATACTAGGCGAAAGCTTCGAAATCCTATTCTTGGCAGTATTCTATTTAAAGATTATTTTCATGGATTTTGAAATTAGAAACAAAAAACGGTTTAATCCCTTCCCCCTGTTGCTAAACAGTCGCCCCTTCACCCACCCACCCAAATAACAAACACCTGGAGGAGTTTTTAGTATTGGGGGGGTCTTTAGTATTAGGGTACGAAGCTTCCCCCTAATACTGATAAAAAAAAACACACACACACACATATATATATATATACACATATTTCTATTTCAAAATCGATCAGATTTCTTTCTTTTTAAATCCAATTGAAATATGGCAAACAAGTGGATTCCGAAGCTTAATATCAAATAAAAACCCCCAACATAAAAAACTATGTATGTTTTTCTATTTCGAAATCGATTAGATTTCCTTTTAAAAATTAAATAAAATATGGCCAAAAAATTGGATGTCGAAGCTTTTCCCTTATATTAAACCCTAATATCATTTTGTTTTTTTTCCTGTTTCAAAATCGATTAGATTTCCTTTTGAAATCTAATGAAAAAAACAAAAAATTGATTTTGAAGCTTTCCCCTAATATCAAATTAAAATCCAAGTATTAAAATATGTTCAAAAATTTGGATTTCGATGCTTCCCCTAATCTTGCATGAAAAATTCCAATATAAAAAACTAAATGTTCTATTTCAGAATCGATTAGATTTCCTTGTAAATTCAAATTAAGATATTGCCAGAAATTGGATTTCGAAGCTTTCCCCTCATATTAAACCCTCACATCAAAGACTATTTTTTCTATATCAAAATTCATTAGTTTTCCTTTTGAAATCTAATTAGAATATGGTCAAAAATTGGATTTTGAAGTTTTCCCCTAATATTACATTAAAAAATATTACATTAAAAACCCTAATATAAAATATTATTTTTTCTTTTTTGAAATCGATTCGATTTCCTTTTAAATTGTAGTAACAAAAATAAAAACAAAAATCGGATTTCGAAATGTTTCCTCTAATATTAAATTAACAGCCCTAATATATTTAAAAAAAAACTGTTTCAAAATCGATTAGTTTTCTGTTTAACATATAATTAGGATATTGCTAAAAATTGGATTTCGAAGTTTTCCCCTAAGATTAAATTAAAAACACTAATTAAAAAAAAAACTATGTTTTTTCGATTTCAAGAATCGATTAGATTTCCTTTTGACATCCAGCAAAAATATTGCCAGGAAATGCCAAAAAGTTGATTTCGAAGTTTTCCCCCAATATTATATAAACGTTGTAATATAAAATACTTATTTTTTCGACCTTAAAAGACCCTAGTTTAAAAAATCACCGGGGCTGACTAGTTTTTATTTTTTGGTGGTGAAATCCTGAAATGGGACCTTCATGTTTAATTTGTTTTTGAAAAGGTATCAATTAAAAGTCAAACTGGCCAGCCTGAAATTTCCCAAAATTTAACGCGGACCCTAGTAAAAGGAATCAATGTAATATTTTAGTATTTAGGGTACGTTTAGTAAAAGGAGGTGGGGATTAGTAAGGTTTTCAATTTAATATAAGGGGAAGCTTCGAAATCCAATTTGGCAAGATTTGAGTTAGATTTTGAATAGGAATTCAATCAGTTTTGAAATATACAGTTCATTTTTTAAAACGAATGTTTTCAATTTAATGTCAGGGGGAAGCTTCGGAATCCAATTTTGGCAATATTTTAGTTAGATGTTATTTAAAAAATGTTTTCCAATTTAGTTTTTTTTAACCAAGGGGGAAGTTTCGCACCCTCATACTAAATACCCACTAAATACAAAAAACTATTCCGTGTGTTCATTGTTGGGTGGGGAGGGGCAGACGGTTTATTATGACGCAGGGATTGGTCAGGCATCACTTGCTGGAATTATTGGATTCTTTTGGGATGATTGGTATGATGTTTAGTCAGGCATGGTTCCCTTCAGTCATGCACGATTTTTGCAAAAATCCTATTTAGGCACGACCCCAAAATCCCAGCCCGGCAAATTCCGGCCCGCGCCCTGCAAATTCCGGCCCTGCGTTTTTCCAAAATCAGGCAAAACCAGTAAATCAGGTATTAAGTCAGGTGTAGTTACCTTTTAAGTCATTAAGGCTAGTCAGGCATGGTTCCAGTGGGTACCTTTTAATTGTGAAGGCTAGTCAGGCATGGTTCCCTGAATTCAGGGGCATGGGTACCTTTTAATTATGAAGGCTAGTCAGGCATGGGTTCTGTTAAGTCAGGCGTGGGTGGGTACCTCTTAATTATGAAGGATAGTCAGGCATGGTTCCCTTAAGTCGGGTGTGGTTACGCTTTAAGTCATGAAGGCTAGTCAGGCATGGGTACCTTTTAAGTGATGAAATCTGAATCAGGCGGAGCTCCTATTCTAAATGTGTTAAATCCAATTGTTCAGTGTGGAAAATCGATTTTTTGGCTGGTCTACGGGCAAACCCTGTGTCTTCCAATACCATAGCGTGCTGATGTCGCTTGCCTGCATAATAGTTAAGGCCAAAGCTTAGGTCATCAGTGTGATCCTGAAATGGCGCCACGACCAAGAAGATGACATGTGTAAAATGGGCCCTGGATTAACAAAGGCTGACTAATGAATTTGGAGGATGCCACTAAAGTATGACATGTAATCACTTTTGAGGAGCACTCTATGGCACGCAGCGCGCGCAGCCTGCTTTACGGTTTAGCGTTTGAAAGTTTTAGGCTTTGCCTCTATGGCACGCAGCGTTTGAAAGTTTAACCGTTTACCTCTATGGCAGGCTGTGCGCGCAGTACGCGTTACGGTTTAAAGTTTGAAAGTTTTAGGGTTTATGTGTGTGGCACGCAGTGCGCGCAGCGCGCATTAGGGTTTAGGGTTTGGAAGTTTTATAGTTTATTTTATTGCATGCAGCGTGCACAGCGTGGGTTGAACTTTAGGGTTTCGAAGTTTTAGGGTTAACCTCCATGACACGATGGTTTAGGGTTTGGAGATTTTAAGGGGTACTTCTATGGCACACAGCGCGCGCAGCGCGCGTTAGGGTTTAGGGTTTAGGGTTTGGAAATTTTAGGGTTTACCTCTATGACACGAGAGTTTCAAGTTTGAAGATTTTAGGGTTTATTTCTATTGCACAAAGCGCGCGCAGCGCGCATTAGTGTTTAGGGTTTGAAGGTTTTAGGGTTTATCTCTGGCACGCAGCGCGCACAGCACGCATTAGGGTTTAGGGTTTGGAAGTTTTAGGGTTTATTTTATTGCATGCAGCGCGCACACCGCGGGTTAAACTTTAGGGTTTGGAAGTTGCATAACACGATGGTTTAGGGTTTGGAAATTTTTGGGTTTACTTCTCTGGGACACAGCGCGCGCACCGCGCATTAGGGTTTAGGGTTTGGAAGTTTTAGGGTTTACTTTATTGCATGCAGCGCGCGCAGCGCGCATAGAGTTTAGGGTTTGGAAGTTTTAGGGTTTCAAGGGTTCCAAGGTTCCAGGGTACCAGGGTCCCACGGTTTCAGGGTTCCAAGGTTTCCAGGGTTCCAAGGGTTCCAAGGGTTCCAGGGTTTCAGGGTTCCAGGATCCCAGCAGGGTGCCAGGTGTGCAGGGTTGCAGGGTTCCAAGGTTCCAGGGTTCCAAGGTAGCAGGGTTCCAGAATCCTTGAGGGTTCCTGGGTGCCAAGGTTCCAAGGTTTCAGGGTTCCACGGTCGCAGGGTTCCAAGGTTCCAGGGTTTCAGGGTTCCAGGGTTCCGGGGTTCCAGGGTTCCAGGGTTCCAGGGTTCCGGGGTTCCAGGGTTCCAGGGTTCCGGGGTTCCAAGGTTTCAGGGTTCCAGGGTTCCAGGGTCCAGGGTCCCACGGTTTCAGGGTTCCAAGGTTTCCAGGGTTCCAAGGGTTCCAAGGGTTCCAAGGGTTCCAAGGGTTCCAAGGGTTTCAGGGTTCCAGGATCCCAGCAGGGTGCCAGGTGTGCAGGGTTGCAGGGTTCCAAGGTTCCAGGGTTCCAAGGTTGCAGGGTTCCAGAATCCTTGAGGGTTCCAGGGTGCCAAGGTTCCAAGGTTTCAGGGTTCCACGGTCGCAGGGTTCCAAGGTTCCAGGGTTTCAGGGTTCCAGGGTTCCGGGGTTCCAGGGTTCCAGGGTTCCAGGGTTCAGGGTTCCAGGGTTCCAGGGTTCCAGGGTTCCGGGGTTCCAAGGTTTCAGGGTTCCCGGGTTCCCGGGTTCCCGGGTTCCAGGGTTCCAGGGTTCCATTCCGGATTTTGAAGGCTGCAAGTCCCCGCGAGCCAGCCCCAGCCCTAGAGATTGAAACCCAACAGGCCCTGCTGTTGGGAATAATCATCCATATTCCCATGACAATCCGATAGAAATCCGATCAAAACCACAGACTTTTCTTGCTTAAATCACCATTTCATCATATTTCATCATATTTCATCATATTTCATCATATTTCATCATACGTCATCTAACTTCATCATAATTAACCCATTTTTCTTGGTCATTTAAAATCTCAGAAATTACATTCCTCCATGCAAGGGCCTGAACATCTCGGAATTCCAGCTCCGCAAGGCCTGACCTGGGGGATTTCTCGCAGATTTCCGTCGGGAGATTTCCATATGGGAAGTGGCTGAGATTCTGGGAAAAAACCATGGCTGACTTTACCATATGGTTGGTATAATGGTACAATTACCATGGTACTATTACCATGGATTTTTGCTGATAATTAAATGGTTTGTATATCATATATTTTCCATTTAAAAAATGGTTATACCAACATATACCAATCATTTATCAGCAAAAATCGAACACAAAATGATGGGATCTAATGGATTTGAAAAAAAGGGATCCCATTGATGAGTGAAACACTGGGGTTTCACCAGCGGGATTCCGATGAAGACTTCACCGGAGTAACCAGCCAATGGGATATGATGAGGGCTGGGATTTTTTTTGAGCAATCTTTGATGGATAGATATTTTGGGGGATATTTTGGCCACCATAAAATATATGTAGGATTCATTTCACGGGAATATGATGATTAGTTGAGGATTCCATGGGATAGTTATGGAATGTTATGGATAGCTAAAAACGCGATTTGTTCATTCTGAACCTCCACATTGTCATTTCAATAGGGAACAGTATGATTTACCGGTTGATTCAGGGGCACCTACTTCTCAAACAAACCCAAAGTTGACATGGAACCGCCAGAATGGGGTCCCCAAGCTGATTTTACCACTAAACATGGTCCTTCTTGGGTTCCATGCCAAATTGAAAAGAGGATGGCAAGAGGATTGGGGATTTACACATTAACCAATGAAAGGCACCACCACTGTCTAGCAACAGATTGTATCCCATGTTTGTAGGATATCCAAAACCACAAGCCAGAAACAAAATGCATCAGGTTTCTGATGGGTCCACTGCTTCTCATTCAGATAAATTGCTTCATTTTCAACCCTTATACTCATTGTCAATCTGTATATCCTGCAAAACATGTAGCTGAGTACTGTAAGTAGTATTATACAGCCCCTTGAAATGGCAACAGGAATGAACTAACAACCTATACATTTTCACAAGTGGTACCTAGAATGTCAGCACTTGTTGCTGGTGATATCAGTGATACTCCCAATTTTTGCAAGTTAGTATGAGATGCGGTGAACATTCAATAATCTTAGCAACAATCCCTCAGAACATATCACAATAACATATTTGTTGCTGGTCAAATGATGTTAATTACTTGGATTTACCATGTCAGGTAAGGTCGATTTTTTCAGCTGGTGATCGACATGCCTTCGGAAAAACCCACTGAGTTTACCAGCAAGATCTTCAAGGACAAGCCCTGCAGTTCCCGGCTCAGCCACTTAATGCCTCGGCCATATGAAACTTCTGATCTGATGTTGCACAATGTTCACATAGAAGATTTTCGAATGTGGGCAATCCTAGGGACTTCGCCACCAAAAGGGATTTAATCATCAAACGTTGGTTATTAATTAATGGAATTTGAGCCATATAAATGAATATCTGGGTGTGTCTGAAAAAGGGGTATACCCATCAAATTAAATAACGCCGTTGTGATGGGACATACCATGAAAACGCCATCCCATTTTGTGATACCATATTTTCAGACAAAGCCATATCTTAAACCACCAAGCAGATTGCTATATGTTACATATTCTACATGTACTTACAACCACACTACTACATTGTATATTGCGACGTATTAGGACATAAAATGTTGTCTATCTCTCTCTCGCAATGATCCATATAGCAAATATCGGTCTACAACCCAAGGCTGGATGAATCTGGTCCTGGCAAGTGCTGACACTTCGCCAACTGTGGCAAGTGTCACAACATCCAAGCTTCTCACTGAAGTCTGTCATGGGTTTCTCCTCCCAGTGCCAAGCGTTGACATTCCAAACCTGAGTTCTTGGTGGTTGTGGATGCTACTACCATCTGGTTATTTAACATAGCCATGGAAAATCACCATTTTTAATAGGTAAACCATCTATTTCTATGGGCCATCTATACCATGGCTATGTTAGTCATAACCAGAGGGTAACTCTTCTGAAACTTGACCCCATCATTTCCGGGGGTTTCTGCATGATCCGATGAGGTCGATGTAATTTGCCACCCGACTATTGGTATTCGTGTTCCGAAACGCCGAAAAAAACCACAAGCGAAGCCAACCCAGTCGCCACAGTGTCAGTCTGCAAATTCATGAAACTCAGATTCAGATTCTTATAAAAACAGCACCCCAAAAAAAGCGACAGTGATGGACCTCTTCCCCGAACATAAAGTTTTGTATAGGTAAATTATCTATAAATCGGCAACTTTCCGTAGCTGTGTTAAAGTACGGGAGGGTACATGTTAGAGAATTTATGCAGGTGATCCCTCAGCCAAAGGATGACCGGGTTTGAAGATTTGGGCCTTTGGTCCCCAGTTTGTGGCTATACTACATAAACAAATGAACCACAGGATTCTCAGGTTCGTTGAGAACACCCCCATTCTGCTCAAGAAAATCCACAGGTTGGCAGTTCTCAACACCTAAAATTATGAAAGAACCACCCCATTGCTCCGAATATTTGTCAGTGAATAGGTGAACTATCACCTCCATACCACCTGAAAAGTAGGCTGTCTGCCTTTTCTTCAGCAAGATCTGAGCCTGGTGAATGGTAAAGATAGAAATGGTGGAGCCGTTGGAAGTTGCTGGCTTTCCACCGTAGTGCAACTGGACCTCCAAACAAATGTGAGTGGGTTTGCACCCTACATTCTTGGTAGCACTCACATACAGGTACCTTTATATTTCACACTGCAGGTGGCAGGTGGATGCTTTCCAAGTCAATCCCAATCTGGTCTGGGCCTCTTTCCGTTTCGAACACGGATGTCTTTGCCGTGGCACCATGTATCAAGATGATCGAGAAACCTGCAGTGCGTTTCAGTCCACTGATGTATTCTTGCTTTGACCATGACCGTTTTATCGGTACCGCTCTGGTCAAGATACTTTTGGTACTCTTTGAGGCACTTTAGCCGGCGATTGTCAATTGACCATAGTTTTCCATCCTGCGTGTCCTTCACCACATCCAGGGTCAGCCATTGTGTCCTGGTTGGGTCAAGTTTCCCTGCTATCAAACCCGCAGTGCACTCTTCAAGTTTGCGGCCTCGATAGGGGCCGCTCTTGAATATTTCTCTGCATGAACGTTGCGTATATAGCAGGTCTTTGACTTTTAAAAAACCTTCTTCCGGAGGTTCAGGCTTCACTGCCATAGACGCCTTCTGCCCAATGTTTGCCATACGTATCCTGTCCAAAGCCTCTGCCACTGGTAGATCTTCCCCTTGCATGGTGATGGCCTTGCAGATTTGCACGCCATCCTCTTCTCCTTCTAGGTCCAACTGGATCTCATGGTCTTCCAAGGAGCCACGCCACGGCTTGGGAGGCTCTTGGGAATCGACTGCCTTCGTGGGGTTGGCAAGCCATGTCCAAAATTCATCCTTGAGGCCCTTGGTCAGAACCCAAGCCCACACCTTGGATGCGCTGACTGGGTAGAGATGATGAGATATGTGTATCTATATATATATATATGCATATTACTAATAATATGCATCAAACCACTTGTAGGTGTATATATATATATATTAGTTTCTTATCATATAATGTTGTCTGACCAATAGTGATATCTTGTCAATAGTAGAAACTTTTTTCCGCAACTCCAGTTTTATCTCCAATACTAAAAGTCAATTAGCTCCATTTACTTTTAGTATTGCCAAAAGAGTCATGTTCAGACCTTGTCCAGAGGGCATGGCCAATAGTGGACCCAACATGGCAATAGTGGAAACTTTTTTCCCAACTCCAATTTTTCTCCAATACTAAAAGTCAATTAGATCCATTTACTTTTAGTATTGCCAAAAAACTCATGTTCTGACCTTGTCCAGACAGATTCCAAGAAGAACTTCAGAAACCCAAAACCCAACCAAATCCATTCAGAATCCATAAGAAACCCAACAAAACCATGGAGAATCTATCAGATACATATCATGATCCCAGCCAACGGGTTCCAAAAAATTACTATTGGAATGCTGACAACAAAAATATTTTATTTAGGGGGGATTTAGTATTGTGCAGCCAACATTATTATAGTTATTATATATATATATATCATTATATATTTATATACATATATTGCTGATGGATAGATGCTAAAATGTTGCGGGGGAGGAGTCCTCCCGAGTGCAAACACTCATCTTAATCTATGCGCTGCGTTGCACGCATTTGGGTTGTTCCGAACCGGATGATCACCATCGAAAATTTATTTCAGAACGGATCGCAATGACATAGTGCTATGGCTTCGTGGTCTGATACAGAAGGAACATTCCCAACATGTCCCAACACGCGAACAAACAATTTAGGAAAACACATCCAAACATCCAAATCCACTGGATATTGGGGCCAAACCCACAACTCTTCAATTTCTAGCTGATTCTAGCTGATTCCCCCAATCATCACTGTTGACTGTCCATGTGTGCAACCAATCTGCAAATCCAAGGCACGTTGGGTCCAATTTCAAAATCATCCGCTTTCCAGCCATTTGGCCTGCGACTTTTTTGAAAATCTCGCATCTTGGCTGCGATGCTCTTCACCTTCCCCTCGGCGGCGAGTTCAAAAGCCAGTGTTCGATCCTCCTTATCAGGCTCGGCTTCGTCAAATCGGAGATCCCCATGAGGATCATCACGAAGCCGGAAAGCTAGCAAGCCTTCTTTCTTCTTTTTTGGGTGATACATTACTTGCCAGCCATCTTCATGAGTCAGCACAAAGAATGGCTGGGCCGTATCGGTGCGGGCATTCTTGCAGCTATCGCTTATTTCCATAAAGCATTCTGTGATCCCAGCACCAACCAGCTTGCTTCGGGCTTTGTCTGCTGCTCCAGCAACCATCTTTGGCCAAGGACGACTGCAGGTAATATCGACACGCACCACACCACCACGCTGATCCTTCAGCCGTTTCAGCAGCGTTTCCCAAGAACTCATGAGAATTTCATGGTTCTTCTCCCGCGAGAAGTACTCCTGATTCTCTCCTCATCAGTGGTTTAGCCACCCTCTCAGAAAAATATGAAGCTGATTGGGATCATTTCATTTCGGGAATGACATAAGTAAATCAAGGGGGATTACTGTGTGTATGTGTGTATATATATAATATATAATACCAATTCAGAAAGTCGATCATCATTCGTATTTTCAATCATTTCAGGGAGGGAAGATTAAACTGGGTCAGGGTCTGTCTGGAACTTCCGTGGAAAAAAACAAATGGGTTGAAATGGCATCATTTTTTCATATGTTCATGGACATTGGATGCCATTGAAATATTTTTGGACAAACTCAACATATCTCAAAATTTCAAAATCAGATAAAATCAGCACATATCAGCCCCGACCAGTTTCTCATCTCCTTCACCTTCTCCAAAGTCAGTGGCAGCTCGTTTGGTGGCTGGAGACGAGGCTTCGCTAAAGCCCAATCCATTTCCTGGTTGCCCCAGGCCATGGCTGCGAATCTCGGAATGTGGCGAGCTCACAATGATGTGTATATATAAATAATATAGTTCTATGAACAAATAATATATATATATATATAGATATATTCTGAGAATGTATATTAAGATATTGTATATATCTGTATATTTTTAAATCTGATATAAATAAACTATTTAACATATTCAATATGTATATATATATGATTATAAACATGTTTCTGTACGTATCTACAAAGGTTCCCAATAGTTCGCTCTTGTTGGCAAAACAGCTAGATCAGTACTTTGTTGGATCTCAGTGGCATCCGACTCCTTCCTGGCTGCGGTTCGGCGAGGCCAGGCTCAAAATGGCCGGGCCAAAGGGAATCTTTGAGATTTCTAAGCAACACAAATTGGGATTTGAATGGCAGAAATGGTGATTAACTCAGGATTTACAATTTGTTAATGTTAGGGAAATATCTACAGGAAACCATGGTTTTAGATCTTAACCTCCAATTTGGGTGCCTGCTATAACTTATCCCTGCAAACCATTCTTGGAAACATATGACATGTTGATCTATGCTGGATCTTACAAAAACACGAAGGTTCTAAGCCTGTCTGCGCAATGAACCCAGGCCAATCTACTTCTTCCAATCCTCTGGAAGGAAGGTAAGATATGGGATTGTCATTAAAATCGTTGGGAATATTGTTATACACCATTTTAAGTGCATGTTTTAAGTTGGAAAACCGTGATCAACACTGGATTTCAACAGGGTGCCCTATTTTGAAACAAACCCATGGGTCAAAACCCTGATACGCTCCCTAGTATTTTAGCCGGTTAATGGATGGTTATTCCCCCAGTCATATGGTAAATTCATGTAAATTCATAGGTTTTGACTAGTTTTGACCCATCCCCATGTTTCCCAGCTCCCAGGCCCCGTTTCTTCGCCCAAGAAACGCTTCCGGAGACAGCTTCGGAGGTCGGCCTGGCGGTAGAGGTGGAAAAATGGACAGGAAAAGTAAGATCAATGGTATCTATAATGTGGTATAATCAACATGAATATCCCATGAATATTTCATTATTGTAACTATAGATATACCTTTTATAGATGATGGTATAATCAATTGGTATAGTTCGAACTGAGATTTCAGCGCTAGCTGCGATTACTGGAGGGTAACCTCTATAGTGACCTACAGGAAGTACCGTAAAGTACCCAGTGCTTTCAATACGTTTGGGTACACCCACAGGTACCGCAATTGTGACCCAGGTACCAACCCGATCAGACTTGGGAGATCGAAATCCGCAGACATTTTGTCGATTTTTCACCCATTCACCCATGAACTATCGATTTTTGGCCATGTTGCTGTTCCAGCCCTTCCTCCCGCGCTGCATTTGTTTGTTTCACGTCATCTCGACGCTGCGGACGCGGATGCTGCGTCTCAGTATTCCCTGGGCTCCTGGGCTGTGGATCAACTTGGCATGGCCACCTCGGGAGCCGTGTGAGCAGTCATTGCTTGGTCAACAACCACTGTATCCAATGGTCAAGTGCAGTTCCCGACCATTCGTGGATTTCACATGATTTCACCATACTTATGGGAGTTATCCCAACTTCTGAGGCTCATTACCATAGTTATTTCATGTTATCGCCCTCCACCCCTGTTCCGACAACCCCATCCGTCCCCGCCGTCCTCTGGGCCAGTTTCACCCGCCTCTGGCGGCCGAAAGATTCCATATTTTTGGGCTTCAAATGGCCCTAAAAGCAATGGTTTCCTGTAAAATCTTCCATAATGCCATAAACCAATCCTTTGAAATGTGTCAATTCTTGACATAAGTTGGGATGTCTGTATAGTAGGCCTTACAAGTAAAATCTAAGAGCCACCTGGCGAGTTCAGGATATGTGGTTGTTTCCCGGCCCATCATCTATGGGCTCCACTAGTGAGGCATATCCACCGACAGCACTCAAGCCAAATCCAGCAGGTTCAGGGTATGTGCGTTGTTGTTTAATCTTGGTGCTGTGCTCTATTTTTTTTCCAACATAGTAATATATTGTATAATATATGTATACATATATTTATATAATGATACAAGATTACGAATTGCTACAAGACAATATAATATATTAAATTATAAATACACTAATTCCTGAATATCGGGTTTACTCCGCCTTGGCAACGCAAACCCCACCCCGTCTGTGCGCCTTCGGAGCAGCCTTCGGAGCGGCCGGAGCCGGTGCCGGAGCCGGTGCCGCGGCCGGCTCGGCTGTTTCTGGCTGCGGCTCCTGAAGGGACTAGTTGGAGGACCCCAGGAACAGTAAGTGTTAGTTAGTTTAAAAAAAAGATAATCCAGGATATTAGGAATTGGAAGTGTCAGGATCCTAATGGGATAGTTAGTTATACTATGTTATACTATATGTTATACTATATGTTATAATAATGGGTTGGAGGAATTTGTCTGTTGAAGATCATATGTTATAATATACTTGGAAAAATCGTGGGGTTACAACCCAACTGGACTCCTCAAGTACCATGGAAAAGTGAAGATGAAAGTGGGGATGTTAGCACTGAAAAATATATAGGAAAGTGAATGAAAATGATGGATTCAATGGACTGGATGTGAGTGTTTGTGGGCTTAACATGGCTTAACATGGCTTAACCACTTATAAATGGGATCCAGGAGTCGGGACTTATGATCCCTCTGGTTTTTCCTGAAACATGGCTTCACCTCCGCTCATCAGCCACGTGGCTGGGAAATCCCCGATCTAAATGGGTGATTTTCCATTGCCACGTTTGATTAAGGGATGGTATTGGTTGGGAAATTAGAGTGAAAATGATGGGAACACCATTTCAACTATGTCTATGTTAACATTTGCCGGGATTGGTTGGGAAGCCCATTTCATACTGCATTTCAGTAGCCAAACATCATGGGTCATTCCGGATCTTCGAACATATGCCTGCGTTGGAATCATCATCGCAACATCATGGGTACATGCAATCTATCTAATATGTGGAACCCAAGACTGGTCAGGAATCCACCGGGAAGAATCAAATCTGGCAAGGTCATCCATCATCCAGTGTGATGTGAAAAAGGGGGTGTTCTTTTGGATCAAACGCAAATCACGGAGGCCACCCGATGTTTTATTTTCTCAGCAGGTTTGCTCATTCATTTCCTCATCAATTGCTTCATGGGCATCGCGTCTTGTTGAGTTAACCATCATTTCCCAAGCGATGACAAAGATCCGGGGCTCAACTGGCCTCAACTTTCACTTCGTCTGTGGAAGCTGCTGCCTGCGGCTATCGTGGAGGTAGATTTTCTGAAAGCCATGAAACAAAATGAAACAAAGAAACTGTGATTTTCCATAACTTCGTTGAATAACCAGAGTGTAAAACCACCGATTGGTTTGGAAATGATCAGATCTTCAAGATTCGCATCAAAAATTGACCAACATTGACCCTTCCAGCGCTTCCCTAGGCCTTCCCCTCTTCTCCACCCTCCGGCTTGGCTTCATCCTTTGATTCATCCTGGCCCCATCTTGTGTTGAGCGACTATTGAATTCGGTGGATGATGGAATGCAACCAACAAGTTTTTGATGAAATTCTTACACCAAAATCATGGGATGATATTGTAATGAAGACGGTGCCAGGTCAAACAAATGACATATGACGACAACCAAGAGTCACAACCAGTGCAACAGGACATCTCACCAAGCACAGAGAATTGCTGACATCGTCATGAGAAATCAAGTAGTGACAATCACCTTCTTTTGGTCCATCAAAGAAAGTTTCAGCCCTATGTGAATCAAATTGCATCCCTTTTTCCCATATCTATATATATATATATGATTATATATATATATACATATTGTGTATAAATATCCAAATCTATCCATACATACATACATACACATATACATACACATACGCATACACGTACATATACAAATACAGATACATATACATATACATAAATATATATACATAATACATATATACATACATATATATTCGTTATTGTCAGTTGAATCTATTGTCCAACTTTGCATCACCCTTCACTGAGCAGAATCACAGTCACAGCTGTTCACCATCCCTGGATACCCAGGGCCTTCTTGAACATACCCAAACCAGTGAAGGCTTTCAACCGCGCCTGGGGCTGGTTTCATTATAAGATATATCCTTCGTGCGGGAAACTAAATATGCTATGGACATGAAGCTTTGAACTCTACATTCAGCACCATTCAACATCAGTCAAGTTAGAATATATTTTTAAATATCAAACCACATAATTTCCAAATTTCCATGCCAAGGGTTAGTTGACTTGGAGTTGTTGACGCACTACCTCATCCTATAGTATAGCTATTTATGGTGTCTGACAAAAGTGGTCGATACTGAGCCGGGTTACAGGACCAACATCTTGGTTCCTCTGACGAATTGTTGGATGGCATTAAGACCAAAAGTGATGGTAAAATGATGCAGGATTGACAGAAGTACAATTCAAATCCGCTATTTAATACCGAACTGTTCTTTCTCCCTACGAAGTTTCATGACTCTGGACAGGTACCAAAGCTGGATCCCGAAACAATGAAGGGCACGAACATCCCAACACAGTGGGTATGGGTCAACCTTGGGTACGCAAAAAATCAGATATCGTTGAGGATAGTAAACATAAGCAGCCAAAATCTGTGGTCCCCTCCGGCATTGAACTTTCGACCCATACCCAGCAAAAAATAACCATTCACTGCAGTTGAATTTGGCATCTTAACCCAATCATTTTTCTGAAAAATCATGTGAATTCCCTGCAGACTGGCAACATATGTATATACAATATACATGTATAATATATATATATAATATAATATAATATATGTAATATATATGTATAATATATATATATTATAATATAATATATGTAATATATATGTATTATATATATATATTATATGTAATATATATAATATACACATATAATATACATATATACACATATAATATAAATATATACACATATAATATAAATATATAGAAATGATATGAAATTGTACAAACTAAATAATGACATATTATAATATTGTTAAATCCCCACTCATAATACTTCTAGATTGCTACCATCACTCAAATTCCCATCTCGAATCATCTCAACACTTCATCTGCCACTTACTGTAGATCTTGGCGTCCCCACTGCCAAGGCTGAGCCAGTGTTGGTCACTGCGCTTGCGGCCTGCGGCATCAGAACCATAATCCTGATCAGAGAACGTCAACACCTAATAGTAGATAATTAAAACATAGATAACTTAACTCGTGAAATAAAATAGAAAACATACTATAAATGAGGTCAAAAAACAACAATACGGAACAATAAAAACAGCATCGCCATCACATGATTTTCGTTTATCATATCCCTGCTTCCACCATCCCCAGCTGCCATGACTTTCGCCGCGTTCTTTGCTTCGCCGCTTTGGGCGTTAGGCGCGGTTTCGAAGAAGCTGCCTGAGAGCGGACTATGGCATTGTCAAACATCCATGGATTGGTCCGTTAAGGGACACTTTGCAGGACACCCACCGTTTGCTTTTTTCATCTTTTTTCCCCGTTAAAGTGTTGGGTTTTCCGACCAAATCTGGAAAGCACATGAAACAACACCGGGAAATAACATGGAATAATTGTACCCAACATTGTTCCCTTATCTTGATTCATCTTGCAGCTGTGTTGCGCACTTCATTCATGGCTCCAGCCACGCGCTGAAACTTCCCCTGGAATAGCGCCACATTGCGCCGCAGGACCTCCGCTGATGTCAGCTCGGCAGTGGCGACCATGGCGCACTCGCGCTCGATGAGGGCGCGAACTTCCGGCTCACAGAGAGTGGCGTCGCAGGTGGAGAGACCTTGGGGTTGGGGGCTTTGAGGCTTTGAGTGACATACAGAAACCCCAAACATAAGATATATAGAACTGTCAAGTCCTAGTCAAATAGTCAATAGTGATAAATCTCTCCTCTCTCCTCTACCTTTTTGGGGTGTTGCTATGACATATTTTTAATCATCAATCAATTATTGATTTTTCTTGATCTTGATATCTTGCTGCATAAAATCAAAACCTGATTCAAGGTCATAATTGACAATATTCTTTGCACTATGAATCATAATCATTTGTGATCATTTATAGAATAATTATTATTTCATATTATTTCTGATGATGATGATGATAATAATCATGATGATCATTATAAATTATGATGATGATTGATTATCATTGATTATCATTATATCCCAAATACGATATGATGTGCGATGATTTGATCATTACCATTTGTGGGGTTCCTCAGCCATGAAATCGCTATACAGATCATCCATGAAACATCACTGGAGGGATCAACTAAAGAATCCCCATGCATAACAACGTCTATGATTCCCTGTAAAAAAACACAACTATAGTAGTCTAACTCTTAGTGGAACATGCAGTGAATCAATCTCAGGCAAAAAAAATCGATCGCCCAAAAAAAATTGGACTCATCATTTTCCCAGTGACCTCTCACCAACGCTAGACCTCTCGCAGTGGGCACCAAGAATCTGCCCGGTGCTCGTTTCGGTGCACGTTGGCCCTTGGGGCCCTTGGGGCCCTGGGGGCCACCCCGATGCGTTGCAACGATGGGCTGCCCTTGGCCGTCGACCAGCTGGACGTAGCGACGATCCTGGATGGTCTGAATGTGCTGAGGGATGGAAGCATCGGTGCCGATGCCATGTTGGTCCATCAGCTCCTTGGGCTGTTGCGATGGGCAAATGGGGGGCAACTGGGGAAATGAAGGCCTTGAGGTTGATGAATTTGTTGAGATCTGCAAGATCCGAAGTCCCCTGCCAATGCTATTTTGCCAGGAAACAACTTTCATGATGTGGATTTACAAGAGGCTAACGTACGTAGTCCAGCAAACAAAATCAATATGGAAAGGGCCACCTTTTAATAATACAGTAATTATTAGTTATTAATACACCCTCACTCAACTGAATTGAGTGTTCCAATTCGAATGAATCAATGTGTCACATTGTGTCACTAATCAAGTAACCACCGCTTCTTCATTGGCTAACATTCAAACGGCCGCCTCATTCACCCTCCGTCATCATCTTTGAGGACCCATCCCAACTTTGGCTCAATAATCTACATTTCTCCTTTGTTTGATTAATATTTTGCACTTAAAAAACATGAAAATCTGTGACACCATGAAAAAAATCAGCAGGATCTCTGTGCAGATGTATATATCTATGTATCGAACATTTCAATCGCTCAATCATTATCCATCTACATATATACTATGCATGGCGAAAAACATACTAACTATTACCATTTTTTAAAACTGCTAATTCGAACCCAACCAAGGCTTCCCCAGCACCTTGGGTAAACCACAATCAATCGTTCTTTTAGACCGAATTAGAGCGAATCAACATGAACTTTGAAACCAATCTCTCAAAACCGTAGATCTAATCTGGAAAATAATGATAATCCATTGGAATTGAAGGTTGCCCATCCTCACACCCACCCATGATCTTGGCAAACGCATGTTTATAAAAACGGTTTCGACAA